GAATAAGGTAATCGGGATAACAAAAAATAGAAAAACATATATTTTTTAAATTGTATTATAAAGATAATTTTTTATATAATTTTTACATGTCATTAAATAAATAAATACATTTAATATCATAAGTCTCATATAAATTAAAAAAATCAATCATTTAAATGACACTTCAAGTTATATAAAAATGTGAAATCAAAAAATTATATAAAAATCATTTCTCATATTTTTTTGTACTAATTTCTTAACATTTAGAAACCACATTAAATTTAAATAATTTTTTCAAAACTTATTTCTCTATTTATAAAACTTAAATTTAAAATTTCGTTAAAAAAATTAAACTTTTTCTATTTAAACCAATAAACAGTTAAGAAATAAAAAAAAAAAATGGTTAGCACGCGTGTTACGCTACTCCTTTTATTTTTTATCTTATATTCCTGAAATGCTGTTTAATTTCCGTACGCAACGGTTTTACTTTTTTTTTTTAATAAAAAAATGTAGAAAAAGAAACGGCAAAAGGTATCGTTTTGCCCCTGAACTTTTCGACTTGTAGGATTTTTGCCCTCCATATTACAATACATGGATTTTTACCCTCAATCTTATCGAGTTTGAGGAAATGAGGCAAAATTTAACGCTGGAGCCACGTGCACCGTTGGCCTCCGTCAAGTATGCGCATGTCAGCGCCAACTCAGAATTTTTTGACAACCTGGCATGCCAACTTGGAACCCACGAGCGGGAAGTTTACCTGCTGCCAATTTTTTTGTGGGTCCCACCGCTGACTAGGTTTGAAAAAAAAAAAAGAAAGAGACAGATGAATGCCAGGAACCGTCCGACTCCGACCATTGTGTCGAGAACAAAGAAAAGCTTCTATTAACCCCACAACCCAGAAAAGGACTACAGAAGGAAACAACTTTACTCCACCCACCAACCGAACGAATCTCCATTGAAGGAATAGAATAGAACATTCGAAAGGGACCACAAAGCACAGACGATTCTGACACTGTTCTTAGTGCCATTGACAGGTATTTTTCCTTTTATTCTAACAAAATCTTGTTTAACTTTTACTGATATTTAGCATACGGGTCATGGATTTGTGTTAGAAGTGATTTTTAATTAAGATTTATGGTTTATTTAGGATTAAAA